CAGACGAGCGGGCCGACGCTATCAGGGTCCTGGTTAAGCAGGTCGTCCGCCTCGAGCTTGATCTTCTTGCACGAATCCTCGATCTCTTCCTCGCCTGTCAGGAACAGGAGGATGTCGCCCGGCTCCTCCGCGCGGTGGATCATGAGCACGGTACGTATCGCGGCCTCGACGTAGTCTGGCTCCGGGTCCTGCGTATAGAAGACTTCGACGGGGTGCGTTCGTCCGGGAACCTTGAACAGGGGTGCGGGTTCGCCGCTCTTGTTCACAGAGAAGTACTTCTGGAACTTGAGGGCATCCAGGGTCGCAGACATGACAATGATTTTCAGGTCGGTGCGGCGCTTTGCTAGCGCCTTCAGCAAACCCATGAGGATATCTGTCGCAAGCGTGCGTTCGTGGGCCTCGTCCAGGATGATAGTTGAGTATCGCGTCAAGTCTGGGTCGTTCATCGCCTCCCGGAGCAGCATACCATCCGTCATGTACTTCAAGAAGGTCGTTCCTGGCTCTGTCATGTCTTCAAATCGAATCGAGTATCCGACCTGCTTCCCCAATGGTACTGGGGTGTTGTCAGATAAATTCACAACATTGACATCACGATATGGGAACTCACCGTCCATCTCATCTGCCACTCGCTTCGCTACGGACATAGCAGCTACTCGACGAGGCTGCGTACACGCCACGAGCTTGCCCTTGGTGTGAGGTAAGTCGGAGTAGCAAACGAACTGTGGAATTCTAAGTGTGTCAGTCAGTAAAGGGCAGTTCCGGCAAGACAGGGGAGTGAGTCGACGAAGTCCTTACTGTGTCGTCTTTCCCGAGCCGGTCTCGCCCACCATGACTATGATCTGGTTTGCACTGAACTTTCTCGGACATGGTCATCAGTTACGTTCCTCTGCGCCGGGGATGCCGCATGCCTGGAGCAGACTCTGACCTCCCCCCACGATCGTTGAGAACCATAATTGACTCACCATGTTCAGAAACTCGTGCATCTGCGCGAACACTGGCAGCTTTTTGCGCATCTCGAGAATTTTCTTGTATTGGGCGGAGTGTGGCTGCTTCGAAAACGGATTGACGTCCCCTTCCTGGCCATCTTTCAGTTGCAGATCAACCCCGAGGAAATCGAGTACTCACCATTGCTTTCGTCACCTGCGCCGCAATAACATGCCTAGGTAGCCATCCATAGAAGGGGTCTTTATCACCAAGAGATTTTGACGAGCCGGGACCTGCCAGTGGTGGCGCTCTCGTGTAGGGGTTTGCCATGTTCGCCACGCAGATGAGTCACAAACAATAAGAGTATCGCAAAGGAGGAGAGGAAGGTGTACGGGCGCGGCAGGTGGCAGTGGCACGCAGCCAAGTCGATGCTTTCCCAACAAGGCATCGCACAGGGGAACAAATCCTCCGCTGACGTAAGCCGGTAGCTGCCCGCTACCAACCAGGAAGGTGTAGTAAGTCACCAAGTTGCTCTCAACCATCCCACCAGCATACGGCCGCATCGCAATGATTACTTCTGTGGTCGTGTTTCAATTTACGCATTATGAAGAGGTCGATTCAATAATCGGCTACGGTAGGCTTGCCGGGGATACTGCACATTGATTTATGATGTCCACTCCGCCGTAGCACCAACATCTTCACGAGAGTGAGAACGTTCATGTATGTAAATTGATCGGGAATTCGTCACAGTCAGATAGGCAATGACGAAGTACAACTTAGTCTCACTCATTCCCAGGTGGATGTACCTCGCTCGGCATTGTACCCTAAATTATATCTGTAGCTTCTTTTTCAATCCCAAGATAGTTTCTTCCGGGGGGCTATAGCCATCGGAGGGAGCTGAGTACCTCCTACCCGAACCAACCGAGGGACGTCGCTTTCACACATCAAGCAAGGTCGATTGGATCGTTGATATCCGTGCCGGTACACTGACGCTTCAGGGAAACTTCACTTGTCACTCCTATCAAGCTTCGTACCTAGAGCTCAAGTAACTTCCTTCCGATAATTGGAAACATCGCCTCGGCGAAATAATGCTCGCTGCTCAATGGGAGGAGCTTCTGATGTGCATAATTGATTAACCTCAACCAACGAAGCATCCTCACGCAGCAAAGCATGCAATTATCGACGATGCCTTTGTAGAGGTCTATCGCTAGCAAGTGATATATGATACAATGTTCCGAACACTAGAGGCGCGAGACTACCGTTGGTCCCTAAGATGTCTAGGCTAGTCGTGAGAGTCGTGATTATGAATGCCAGGGAGATGTGAAGAGCGGAGATGAGGGGAGCGGACCCGACCTGTTTTGGAATATAGCAGGCGATCGCGATGCAAAGCATGAGACGAGGAGAGTAAATCGTGCAGGGTACATAGATGACGATGAATGGTGGGTGCGAGATGATGATGATGATGGACGTGCGCGGCGAGGCATCCAGCCCGGGAGCGAGCGAGCCAGAATGACGGTCGAGGACACCACTACACGTTCTCCACGGCGTCCGTCGGTTTGTCCTTCGGTGACGCCGTTGCCGGCTTCGTCGGCGCATACTTGGACTTCTGCCTGATAATCGGGCCGAACTTGTACAGCACGAACGGGATCGGGCCCAACAGGATGGCGATGAAGCCGAGCAGCGTCGACGCCCACCGCGGGTTGAGCCTCTCGTACATCTGCGCCGCGAACAGCGGGAAGCCCGCGCCGAAGGCCGAGCGCACGACGGTGTTCGCGGCGAGCGCAGAGGCGGCGACGAAGAGGTACGCGTCGATGATGTAGTTGAAGAGCGCGAGGAAGATGTAGACGATGCTCCACCCGAGGGGGAAGCCCGCGATGAGCGGCGCCCACAGGCTGACGGTCGGGTACGAGGTCCAGCCGAACCAGAAGAACGAGATGGCGAACATCGGCGCGGCGACCATCGCGAGCTCGAGCCGCTGCTCCGGTGGGACCATGTCGGGTGCGTAGTGCTTCTGAGCCTTGATGTAGCGTGGGTTAAAGATGACCAGGTAGCTGACGACGCCCGCGACGGCACCGACGAAAATCGGCAGGAATGTTAGGCCGGTTAAGCCAACGTTGAGGTTGTGACCCTCGGAAAAGACAATGGGGTACGCCTCGAACAATATGTAAATGCAGGCGTAGACGAACTGTGGACACCTTCAGGTGGCTGTCAAGTGACAATCGAAAGGCGCACTTACACTCATATAAAGGGTGACCGCGATGAGCATGGGCTCCTGGAATAGCACGAGGAATGGACGACCAAGCACACGCTTGACATGCTGGCTAAGAGTGTCGCTGCTGCGCTCGAACGCTGCCCAATACCGGTCATCACCAGTCTCCTTGCGCAGCCGTTTTGCTTTACGAACAGTCAGGATGGGACTGAAAGTGCAATTAGCCATGAAACCTCACGAGACGGTGATATAGCTTACAGGAAAGTCTCGGGGAGCGTGAAGATGATCAGGATCAGACAGGCGCCAGCAAACATGGTGAGCACCCAGAAGAGCCACCGCCAGTCTACACCAGCATCTGCCATGAAGCCAGAGACTATGGGGCCGATCGTAGGGCCCGCGAACGGCGCAAGCGTGAAGAACGCGAGCGCTTCTCCGCGTGTCCCCGCATCCCAAATATCTGAGATGACAGCCCTAGTAAAGGCCGATCAACGAATAGGCGTAGACACAATGGCACTATGTGCTCACCCGCTGTTGGACAATGGTGCAGCTGCGAACGTTCCGCCCAAAAACCGGAAGATCAAGATTGACGCGGTGTTCCGTGAGAGGGCGCACCCAACCTGGAAACAAGTGTAGACGACAAAGCTGATGATGAACACGTTCCGTCTGCCTATTTGCTCCGACAGTGGACCCCACACGAGCGGCCCCACGCAGTAACCCGCGACAAATAGCGAGATGGTCAGGACGGCGACTTCCTCGCTGAAAGTGAAATATTCCATGAGGTCCTGTTCAATGCCTTCCGGTGCTGAACTCGCGAATGTCCTGGAGACATATTAGCCGACGCTGATAACGGTGGATAATGAAGAGATCCGTACGCGTTGAGAACCAATAGACCTCCAAGCATCGTCAGGTACCACTTGTATCGCGGCGACCAAGTCTGCGGATTTTCTGGATCATCGGGAGCTATGGTGACTTCAAACTTGTCCCAGCCCTTCTCTCCTGGCCTGGGACCCAGCGCCTCGCGCTCAAACTCCTCTTCGACATTCTGGTTTGGTTCTGACATTTCGTCGTCGACGACGGTTGAAGAACGTGACCCTGCCTCTGCGGTGGTGGTGGCTGCGGTGACTCCAGGCTTTGCAGACCCAGACGCCGAGACGCCCGGTGGTAGAGAGGAAGAGGAGGAAGCTGCAGTCGGACTCTTGATGGACGCCATGAGGAAGGGGGAGGGGGACGTAGAGGAAGGGTGTTAGGGCGGTCTGGCGGCAGCTGGAGAGCACTCCACCGCGCCTTGTATATATGACATTTGTGCGGCTGGATCGGTTGAGTGTTGCTCCTCTTGTCAGCACTTGCAGTCAGCCAGGAGTCAGCCTCCTCATCGTGGATCGGTAGCCACCCGGATAACGTCAGGCCTGTCACACGCGCCGTCACGCCGTCACGCCGCATATGGGCGCTTGTGGGAGACTGTGACTGGCCGCCCCGCCGCACGTCGCTCGGCCGCACCGACCCACAAGGCCAAGGCCAATATCGTGAATGATCTGTTATTCAGCGTCCCACATCGCTCCCGCTACGCCACCCAACAAGAGCCCTCTCGTCCAGCGGCGAGCACAGACGAATGCACACGGCAAGGGTCTGCCAAGCTTCGAACGTTCCTAAGCGTTCTCGCACAGACCCGCAGCTTATCCCGTCGCCCCACTCGAGGAATCGAGCAGGTCGAATTCTTGCTCTTCCGGAAGAGCCGCATCACTTCTCCCGCCCGCCCGCGCTCAGCCACCTCCTCAGGGAGGCTCGCACGCGAGATTTCGCCGGTTCCGTACAGTTCCAGACATATGCCAAAACAGGGACGCAGTCTCCCCGAGCCAACACCGTGCACCGCGACACTATAGGTCCAAAGCACGCTAACGAGAGCCACAACCCATACGCTAGTGTCGCACTCACCGAGAAACGTCACTGTAACGTTAACATGCCCGAATTTGTATGCATCCGGTCCTTGCCCGCGCCACGTCCGAGCGAGCTATGCCCTGTGACCGAAAAACAACGGTCAACCCGCTGTCCCGAGCCTCCGACTTACGGAGCCACGTCCGGTCATGACAAAGCCTATCAGTCTTCGTGCTATCACGCAAACGACAGGGCGTCCAAGTAGAGTTCGTCGCGGCTGTCATGATATACACTGCCGCCTTGGTCGCAGCAGGGAGACCCTGTGCGACGTGAGCGGACGACGGTGATAGTTGCTGACGGGGGGGATGACGGCGGGAAGGGGGAGGCGAAGTGCGCGTCGGTGGGAGCTTATATAAGTAAGATCACTGATGGTGAAACATGTTGTGGACGCTTGTGGGTGCAGCACGCCAAGTCCTCAAGGGCCCCTGCCGCATGTCTACTCACCCTCGGGAACCGAATACGAGCTCCGTGTACATAAATACAAGCCTGCGAAGGTCATCTTCACCTCACGCTTCGGCGTCTCTTCATCGCATACCAGAGTGCATTAACAATGAATGATCCGTGCAGTCGAGCCGCCGGGACCCGAGTCGAAGGTATATTCCCAAAGTCAAAACCACCGCAGAAGAAGAAGGGCGGAAACGAGCGACCGAGACTCTGAGGGTTTGCTACATATCCATTACAATTAATGAAGACAATCTATACACGATACACTCCGCGAGCAACCGCACAAACGCAGCTGTAGTAAACGACACGGGTGGGATGTCAGAGGGGGGGAGCAACGCCAACTATTACACTGCAAGCAGCAGAGCACAAACAACATCGTCACAGCACAACACTCAGTATGGTACGTACGTAAAGAGTCGTCGCAAAACATCGGTACACCCACCAACGACATGCCCGATACCGCATTGCGCTCCTGCGCAGGCCCCACAGACCGCAGGATCTCTGAGCGCGGATCCGTCGTAAGATCATACAGGCGGCGAGCACCCAAAGCTGGTCGCCTGGCTCGTCTGGAACGTCAGCTTGATCGCCGTGCCCGACCCGTACATGCCGAGGCACGCCATCGACAGCGCCGCGAGCGCCAGGATGAAGTTGAACGTCTTGAACAGCGCCTTCTTCACGCCGCCCCCGAAGAAGCCCGCGCGCCAGTCGACCACGCCCGTCACGGGGTCGCGCCCGTCCTTGAGGAAGTAGAAGCCGAAGATGAGCGCGGGCGGGAACGTGTACGTGAACTGCATGATGCACACGGCCGCGACGAGCCCGGAGATGGTCTGCACCTGCGGGATCGCCGCGCCGACGATGAACGCGAGGGCCCAATAGAGGAGGACCATGCCTGGAAGCGATAACATGTCATGTTCGGTCTTTCAAGGAGCAGCAAAGCGTGTACGTACCGGTCCAGATGAAGCGCCCCTTCTTGCTCGTGAGAGGCGGGCCGTTGAGCATCTCCTCGACGATCGCGTAGTACGCGACCTTGATACCGATGTTGCCATACAGACCCGCAGCGATGATACCGGTGACGAGACCCATCACGTTCCCGACCGTCTGCCAGCCGTACTTGCTGACACCCTGGTAGGCGATAGAGAGCGTGAACTGGCCCTGGTAGCTGTACACGAACAAGCCTATCCCCCGCGCGCGTCAAAATCAGAAAATGCCCGAAGTCTGAGGGAGAGGGGGGATGCGACGCACCGTAGAGCAGGTACGCAACGAAGATCAACGCCTGCGCGCAGACCATGCCCTTCCAGAAGTCCCAGGGGCGGCGCATCTCAGCGAGCATCTCCGGGAAGATCATAGCACCACCATAAGCTGTCCAACGAGCCGATCAGCGATCGCCGTCACCGTCGGGCATCACAGAGGCACGCACCGAAGACCATGTTCATGATGCCGTTCACCTTGTTGGGGAGCGTCTGGTCCACGAACGCGGCAGTCACGACCGGGCCGGGGTTGATGTCGTACGCAGACTTCGCGCCGGCGTAGTTCGGCGGCGAGTGCGAGATGAAGCCCATCGAGATGAAGATGATGCTGGCAAGGACCCACAACTGTCAGGCACGAACTGCGTGGCAGGCATTTCCAACTCACGCGAGGTTGATCCACACGGCGCTGTTCGCGAGCCATCCGTAGTTCTTGAGCGTGCGGATCTGGCCGATGAACATACCGACGAAGGCCCAAATGACAATGCATACGGCAAAGCAAAGCTAATTCTCGCTGTCAGCCCAGCTAACCGCGGCACTAAATTCGGGCCAGACTCACATGCTCCTTGGTGATTTGACTGAGCGACTGGCCGTTACTCAGACAAATTGTGCCAACGTTGATGATCAGCTGGATGCTCTGGAGGATGCTGGACATGTGCCGGGACGCTCTGCCGAAAATGCGCTCCATGAGGTCTGAGTACGTCTTGACGGGGAAGACGTCCGAATCGAGCTTCATGAACAGCCACCAGAGCAGGAGCCCGGTGTAACAAGCGGTAGCGCCCATCTAGAATGCGGTCGCACGCATGATAAGATACGGCGTGACGTCAATTTCGCGTCTTCTGAGGGTTGCTGGCGGGAGATACGCACGACGAAGTACAGAATGACACCGGGTGCGTAGCCAACCTGGCTGATGGCATATGGCGCGTTGAAGGCTGGAACGACGGGTGTCAGTTGTCTCCAGGGGAGGCGAGGCACGCAGCGCAGCTACTTACGACCAAGGATATCGGTCGTGATCAGGTAGAAGACAGCCGCCCACTAAGTGAGAGTTAGCTCCGGACGACTTGACACTGGGGTGCGAGCTAGGACTGACCGAGGCGCTGCGAAGGGCACGGCGGGCATTGATTCGCTCCTTCTCCTCAGCCGTCAATGCTGCCTCGGAGACCACGGGAGCAGGGCTCTTTGACGCTTTACTGAAGGGCGGTAAGTACGAGAAGAGAAAAAGAAAGTCGGGCAGAACTCACTCTGTATGCGTCGAGCTATTCGCGGACGCGGTGTCGGAGCTGGACCTGCCCTTGTACTGGGTCTCCTCGAATGCGCGCTGGCGCTTGGCGGCAGCGAGGTACTCCTCGAAGGAGGGCTTCAGGCCTGCATATAGCACGCGATGAGAGACTGCAGACCAGCGAGGGCTGCAACGGTGAAGATAGGACGTACCATCATGGTGCGGCTCGAAGAAGTCGTGGCCGTTCTCCTCCTTCTCGAGGCGGGGGTCGCCCTCCAAGTTTGCGTTGTTGTACATTGGGAACGCTGCCTGGGTTCGGACGGGTTGGACGTCGAACGAAGGGGATGGGATGAGCGAGGGAAAAGTTGCGTGCCCGGTCCATGGGGAGTGGCCTCGTTCTTATTAACGCGCGAGCGAGCGAGCGCGCGGGAGCATGTGCTCGCTGTCCACGAGCGGAGCGACGTTGAAACACCCCGATTGGGTCTGATAACCCCAGCCTCGCCCAATCGCAGCGCCCGCCTGCCCGATTACCCCCGCTTTGGGCATGCCGATCCCTTATTCCCGAAAATAACCTTCCAGATCTGAGATCGATCCCAGGCACACCGCCAGCCACCTCTCCATGTCCTCACACGGCTTGCCACCTCCATTCACCTCTGTCCTGCCTCCCGTGAGCTGCCCGTCTCCGCGCAACACTCGCCTCGTCTCGCGCGAGTGCAAAGGCGACGCACCCAGTCTCCTGCGCACGACCATATGGCCAATCACGCCGCCGCATGCTCTGCAGTGATCGCACGGGCTCCGAAGCCGCATCCTCGCACCGGGTGTGCATTCTTGCGCGCCTTCGACGCCACCTCGTCCATATGCCCGCCACACGTCTGCCCCTGTCTGCACTCGCCGTTCATAAGCACAGCCGACATATACAGCGCGGGTGAAACCGCCACCGCTGCTCAAGACACCGACGTGCTGACGAGAGTGTTCAATTTGCAGACGAACAAGCCGTGTTCCTTCTGCCGTGGTGGAGGCGATTCAGGGTGCCATGTCTCCCGTCGGCTCTTCTGGCTCGCCTTGCGTACGTTAAGAGCCTGTTCCGCCCCGTCTTCTCCTCTGCACCTGATCGCCGTCCTGTCGTTTCTCTGCCTTCTCACGTTGGCTGTCATCCATGCGATGGGCGCGCCCTGTGCAGCCGCGTCCATAAGTACCCGTATCATATGGCGAGAGAAAGCAGCTGATGACCATGCACCGTCGTGCCCACCTGCCAAATGTCCATTCAAAACGGCACCGCGCCCCAGCGGTTCGAGTCGAGGCTTGCTCCTACTAGACATCGCACTGCCCAACGCCCGTGTCCCCGGACCGACGGTCGATGCTCTGCTGTTGACGGTCTGGATGACTAATGTGAGCCGTGGCCAGGCACGTCGGTCAGTGTGGGCGCCGTATTTGACATCCGCCGCCGCCGCCGCTCCCCGAATATGTCGGACGGCTCCGGCGCAGCTCCCTCCAGAGTCGGTGTCAACCACCCCGGCCGGCGCAGGCAACGGCGCAAGTCCTCGAACGCTCATCGACACCCGGTGCGCAGCTCGTACGTCTGTTCCCTGTGTGGTACGGCCTGCGCGACGCGCGCGACGGCTGCGGCCTGCAGCGCCATATACAGATCTCGATGTGAGATACAGCATGTGGTGCGCATCACAGCGGCGGGGCCGGCGAAGGCTGATATGTAGCGGAGCTTGGGCCGCCCTTCACGGAGGCAGATAAGGACCGTGACTCCGGCCTCGAGAATGCAAGTGTTTTGCAAGTGTCCTCTTGAACGGTGAGGGGTGTTGCGTAGCTCACTTGCAGGCACGACGGCGGCCTTCTGCCGCGACGTTGCACGGGCGACTGCATCTCGAGCAAAGTCGTCAGCGAGTCGTGCCGCTATCGCGTCATGCAAATTGTCAGGCGTAAATTAAATCGGCAGCGTCTATAAATAGATCCTCCATACCTGTTCCGGTAAGTACCTCGTCTCCGCCTGTGATGCCGACGCCTTCAGCAACATCAGACGCAGGACATTCAGGCACCTCTGTACGAGACTTACCGTTCACCCGAGGATAATGTGCTTCATAGCAGCGTGCTGCCGACCCGCAGCAGGCAAGATCACAATTCCCCGCCACCCCATTTTCCGTGCGTGAGTCCTCAACAGAATAAACATGCAAGGCATGCGTTCCAAATCGTGCCTTCCTCGCAGCGCAGTTCATTGGCCAAGTCTTGGCGGAAATCGCATACTTCTGAAGTGACGCTGGTTGAAGACGTCATGCAGGCTTCACTCTCGTTGTATTTGTGGCATTTTGGCCAGCCTGCCCCCATCCTCACCTTCGGTTCCATATGTCTGACCATAAAGTCATTGAGGATGATTATAACAAATCGCAGTGCTCCACGCAAGTCGTATGGCGTCATGAGGGAACTCATCTTCTTGTATTCGTTCATCTATACGCTATAGCTTTAGGTCGGAAGTCTTCTGACCGCATGGCTGCGCATACATACTTAGAGTGTTACATGACATATATCTATGCTCTGCTACCACATGCAATACGTTCGAGACTCTCGCGATGCTGGTTATAGATGCTAACAGTGGACCAAACTGTCTGAACCTACATATGCAATACGGAAGGACACTGTGTTCGCGACGCGTCACGGCACGTGATCGTGCAGCCGCCCATAAATCCAACTGCCCGGCTGCAACGCGCCAGACCACGCCCGCTCCTTGAAGTTGCTGTCAGTGGCGGCGTGCTACAATCATCTATCCGCCGATCACAACCCCTCTGTCAGTGTCAATCGCACTCACGGCAGAGGAACTCAGAGCAGTCACCATGAGCGAGGGGCCATCTATCCGCGCCATTCCGTACGTATGGCGCCACGAGGACGAAGCGGACATCATAAAGGAGTACCTCGCCGCTGTCCAGCAGGACCGCGCGCAGGGCGTACGTGACGACGCGGAGGACGAGCTGAGCGATACCGAGACCGTCTTCTCTGACGATCCGTCGTCGGAAGGGTCGGACGAGTCAGCGTCACTCGACGACGAGGATGTCTTCGAGTTCGGTCACACGGACGACGAGATCGAGGACGAGGAGGACGACGGCTACGTGCACTACGTCCAGGACGATAAGAACTACGACCCTACAGACCCTGAATTTTGGAGGAGGTACTACCACGGCGACTTCAAGAAGTTCAGCCTCCGGATGGGGCCCGAGCGGGAGTTCCACACCTCGTTCAAGGACGTGGCGTGGTACGATCCGAAGAAGCCCAGGCGAGTCGCGGACGAAGAAGACCTGCGCGAGACGCAGCGTGCGTGGGACGACGTCGCGCTCGGGCGCGGGCCGTTCGAGAGCAGGCAGAAGCTCGTCGAGGTGCACGAGAGCCTGATGCGCGCGCTGAACGACCTGGACGACGAGGTCGCTGACCAGCAGGGGGCTGTGAGCAAGGCGGTGCAGAGGAGAGAGCCGGGCGTGGTGCTCGAGGAGGGGTGGGACATCGAGAAGGTCGTCAACGAGCTGCGGATGCGCTCGACGATCGAGGTGGAACACGCCCCCATCGACAACCTCCGCCGCGGAGTGGTCTACCTCGCGCGGTCGTTGCATCTCAAGGAGATCCTCATGTATCGCGGCAAGAACGCATACCCTCCCACGTTCGTTCCGCCTGCCGTTGGGGAGCCTGAAGATGTCTGCGCCGCGGACGAAGAAGAGCAGGAGTATGTCTTGGTATAGAGACGTACCAGAATGATCGACGGGTACGTCGTCGTAGCGACTCTGCCGTTTCCATCCTCATCGTGAAATACCAGGAACTTGTGTTTCACCCAGTTTGCCGCAGTCCCCTCCATTATCTCAACGAATGCTCGACACCTGTACATTGCTCACTGCTATCGGCTTGCTATCGCTCCCGCTTTGTATCTGTCCCACCCCGAAACACCGTATTTCTCGACATCGCGCCGCCATGCACCCTACAAAATCTATCTGTCACTATTGCTGGTCATTAAGACAATGTCACACGCGACGAGATCGATCCCAGCAGTGCAACACTGGTTCACATACTGTGTGGCTAGCACGTCGTACTGAAACACTGTATCATACGTCGACTGAATTGGCTCGGCATTGAGCAATCATATATGTGAGCTTTGCTGTTTCTTTCTGTTATACAGTGTCGACGCCCGCCTCTTCAGTCGACTTCTGATAGACATCGACCGCGCGCCACCCACCAAGTACAAGATCTCAATAAGTATTACGCGCGTCTTTGTAGCGCGCCTGACACGTGACCGTGCTTCCTTCCATCGAGATCCCGACCGCGAGGCGACCGCACGGGCCACAGCGCGCCCCTATAGTGCGCTCAGCGGCGAGCGTACACTCGTCCCACCGACGTCCAGACATAGCCCTTCACTGGAATCCGTCATAGAGCATTCATCATGAGCGAGGCTCCAGCACTTCGCACCATCCCCTATGTGTGGCGGCACGAGGACGAGACGGGCATCGTACAAGAGTACCTCGCCGCTGTTCAGCAAGAGCGCGAGCAAGGTGTACACAGCGACGACGAGTCCGAGCTGAGCGATAGCGCTACGTACTACTCGGACTCGAACTCGGAGTCATCGGAGCCATCAGACGGGTCATCCGCCGAGGACGTCGACGAGGACGACGATGACGGCACCGACGACGATGATGAAGAAGAAGAAGACCTCTCAGAAACGGTCTTGATGGAGCGCCGCCTGCGCGAGACACAGCTCGCTTGGGACGACGTCGCGTGTGGAAACGCGCCGTTCGACAGCAGGCGGAAGCTCGTCCGATGGCACGAGAGCCTCATGCGCGCGCTGAACGAGTTTGACGACGAATACGCGCAGAAGAAGAAGGGGCGTCGGAGCAAGGCGGTGCAGAGGCGAGAGGCAGTCGTGGACCTCAACCAACGCGACATCGACAAGGTTGTCGAAGAGCTGCGGCTGCGCTCGACGCTGGAGGTGGAGAACGCACCCATCCAGGACCTCCGCCGTGGACTGGTCTACCTCGCACAGGCGTTGCACCTGAGGGAGGATCTGATGGACCGCGGTAATGCGTACCCGCCCACGTTCGAGCCACCTCTCGATGACGATGAAGAAGAGTATGTCTTCGTGTGATGGTCTCAGATTCGCAAAGTATGGTATGTCCTCTCATCTTCGTTGCTGCTGCATACATTCGGGGCCAGCACCTGACCTCCCGTCCGCAGTCCTGCATCTCTAGCATGACGAATGTACATTAGTGCCGTTGCTCTCAGCCTGCTATCGTCTCTCTTTCGTGTTTATCCTACGCTGGTACGTCGCAATGCCCTCGTTGCAACGTCGCTTTCGATCTGCTGTTGATTGAATATCATGATCGACCCGAGAAGCACGATTCCATCGTCGGGTGATGTATATGTACGTGTACCACCCTTCGCCTTGTGTGCTGGCTGGACCTTTGTTGATTCCCCGACGGAGGCAAAAGTCAACGGACTCGTTGACACATGCGCATGTTTTCTCCGGACATTGCGGGCATGAGATACATATTCAAATTCGGGACGGCGATACAACGGGATACAATCGCGCTTTTGAGTCTGTGCGACTATCGCAGGAGCTTGTTTCTCATGCAAGTCGAAATGCCGCCGACTCCCTTGCCGAGCTTCATTGTGTCTTAAGAGTTTCAGTCCACACCTAGTGTCCGTCAAGCTTCCCGCCCTTGCCGACAAATCCCGCAAGCTCCCAAGCCTTTCAACCTTCTCCCATGTGGACCGTGCGACGAGTGCGGTCATCTGATGGAGTCCATATCACGTAACGAGTACTGTGCGCTCTGTTCTCATCCGAGTCAAACATACTGAGTTCAGTTCCACAGAAGTCTATGGTTCCTGGTCCAAGACTTATTCGGCGCCAGAATTTCGCGGCATTCCACAGATAACGCCGCCTTCATAGCTGTGGGACGCGATGGTATTTGAATGTCACGGTGAAAGACCTGCGCTTAGCGGCCTGGGCCGGCAATCTGTGTGAGCCGATATACTTATAGTCTACTGATTCGAGTTCTTCGGGGCCTGTGCTAGGCAACTCCCCGCAACCATCATGCTTTACATCCTGTTACTTGGTCTCTCTATTCTTCTCGCAGGTTACAATATCTCTCGGAGAAACGCTAAAGGGCCTCTGCCTCCAGGGCCACGTGGACTCCCTTTCCTCGGAAACGCGCTACATATCCCCCCGGAGTACAGCTGGTTGACGTTCACACGCTGGGCGCAAACGTACGGTAAGAGCTCGAACGTTGTACGGAGACGAAGCGTCCTCATCCAATCTTCCCAGGCGATGTTATGCACTTGTCTGTGATCGGTCAATCGTTCATCATCCTGAGTTCTCGAAAGGCAATCGACGACTTGCTTGAGAAACGCGGCGCTATGTACTCTGATCGACCTATCATTCCTATGGCGGGAGAGTTGTAAGTGACTCTAGAGAACTAATTTAAGGCTGCTCACGTAGCCTAGAGCTGGATTCGGGCAATACATGGCTATGTTCCCGTACGGGCGTCGACACAGAGAGGGCCGTAAGTTGTTCCTAGGCACGCTCAACCCACGAAACGCACCTCGCCTGCAAGCCATTCAGGAAGAAACCGTGGCGCCGTTTGTCGCCAACCTCGCCGAAGATCCCTCGAATTTCTTGTTGCATATACGGTGGTACGTGGAATTGCATCGCCGCGCACATCAGAGCGAGTATTGATACCAGACTGCCAGGCTTGTCGCGAGCGTTGTCCTTCGGATCACGCACGGGTTGACGATCGACAGTTATGATGATCCGGTCATCCAGACAATGGAGAAGGTCATTCATGACGTCTCCAAATTATCGGCACCGGGAGCATATCTAGTTGACAGCCTACCTATCCGTCAGTTCGTTGTTTGCTGTCGCAGCTATAAGCTAACGGTCAACAGTGATGCACATCCCGGACTGGTTTCCGGGTGCTGGCTTCAAGAAGGTTGCGAAGGACGCGCGCGACAACTCCTCCAGGATCGAACACAAGCTGTATGGCATCGTGAAGGAGCAGGTGGTACGCCGAATCTCATGCTGAATGGCAACAAATACTCAGTATACGCAGGCTCGTGGGACAGCGCTCCCTTCCTTCGCAGGCGATTTGATGCAGAATAATCCCAATGCAACGCCAGAGGAAGAGGATCTGTACAGAAAAACGGGAACCCTGTTCTACACAGGTAGGCCTGTCAAATATCATAACATTTAGCTTGCGCTTATTCAATTCGTAGCGGGGTCCGATACTGTAGGTGTCCTTGTGTAGAGCACACCACCTACTGACCGCTCATTGTCTTACAGACAGTCTCTGTTATCGAGTCTTTCTTGATTCTGATAGCACAGAATCCGGGCATCCAGAAGAAGGCTCAAGCTGAAGTAGATGCAGTGACTGGGCGCACACGGCCGCCGGTCTTCAGCGATCGCGAGGCCCTACCATACCTTGACGCAGTGCTAAAGGAGGTGTTCCGTCACAAGCCTGCAGGACCCTTAGGTACGCATCGTGGCTTGCTGTTCCCTCCTCGTCGTTGACACTATTTCTCACAGCTCTTCCGCACAAGGTCCGTCAGGATGATCACTATGCAGGGTATTGGATTCCAGCAGGCTCTACTGTATTGTCTAATACATGGTATGTCGGCGTTCAATGATTAGGATTCGGGTGAATCGCTCGCTGACACCTAGGGCAGGGCTATCATGCGTGATCCCTCGCTCTACCCAAACCCCGACCTAGTGGATCCGGAACGCTACTTACGCGACAGCAACGAAAATCTGAATCCCGACCCACGGATTTTCGCGTTTGGGTACGGAAGAAGGTAAGCCGCTTCCTTGAGCGGTATAGGCCTTGAGTCACGTTCGAAAACAGAGTATGTCCCGGCCAAATGCTTGCAGAGAGTACTCTGTTCCTAACTGCGGCAAACATCCTGGCGTCCTTCGATGTCAGCGAAGCCTTCTCCTTGGATGGTTCAGAGCCTAAATGGGGAGGTGGCGTCGTGAGGTACGTCACTTCGGCTTTTCCAAGTTGTCGACTCGTGACCGATGGTATATCCTCTAGTCAACCACTACCCTTCAAGTGCACCATCAAACCTCGTACAAAGACAGCCCATCATGGCTGAGCTCACTTCGATAGGACAGAGGTTGATGCGGCGGGTGGTGGTTGTGTTCCACGGGTCCGTGATATAGCATGGTATTTTGTTGCGAACACCCAATATTGTGTCACTGTACCTCAGAACATGATGCACCTGATTCTGGTTGCCTCTGAGGCTCAATTAACGCTCACCCTCAGTCTGAACAAGCCGGGGTAGTATGAAGACAGCTATTGCGATTACTGTAACGGCGGCGATCTTCAAGTTATAGACCTTAAGAAGGAGTAGTGTTGGCGCTCGGACTTGTGGTCATCGAGGCGGCTGTAGCGACACGCGTGTGCAGCACTGCCGACGAATGTCGTACAAGCTTCCGAGACTCGCACATGATTTTCCATGGCACAGAGCATGTACGCAACGACGATTTGAATTCCGAACCGCGATTTCGTATTCGGGCGAGGATACATGGTACTGTAACGGCGTCATAATAGATCGACTCGAGGTTGACTTGTACACCGACTGCGGTCGATCTCGACTCTCGACTCACACCATCCTGACCTAAACTAAACTACCGCAATTATTGACATAGATCTAGATAGATTACGGGCATGTAGAATACGTACTAATTGGAAGCTAGCAGTGGCAACCCACACACCGCCAATACGCGTATCTTTTCCGTCGGAGTGCGCTCAGCCTCTGGCCCGTTCGAGCCTGAGGGCAGAGCCGTGAAAGTATACCGTCGACGAAAGCAGCAAACTTATTCTTTCCCGGATGAATGGTCTAAAAACTAGATCAGGAGTGCTGGTACTATGGAGTCACGTCCATGTAGTACCTGTCGATAGGCGGCACCCACCGTGGATCCTAGGGCTTTATGCATGGCGGTGCCATAGTAGATCCCAACCGACGAATTCGTTACAGTCCCTTGCGTATGCACCGGAGTCATCGAGCAGTCTCTAATCTAGATACAATGTGTTTCAGCACGAATGAGTACGCATCAAAGATGTCATTTGCGGACTCCGAGTCAGTGTACTTACCAAGGAGGTAGTGGACCGTGACATCGCGCGAGTATCCAGGCGCATCACTCCCCTCGTTTCTATAGCTACGGGCATCCCGCATCAGTGCCTGAAAGCTGTGAGCCCAGACTGCTCCAGGTTACTCTAGATTCACTCTGGGGAGCCAGTGGCATTAACTGCTCTTGCCCATATGCACCTTAGCCATGCAGGGCTGGTACAGTCCTGAGAGCTCAAGATCCAATTCAGGACACAGCTTCTGATGTTCTGATGTCCATTCTGATAGGGGTATGAGGATCTAGGAAGGTCATGTGTGCTGCATTGTGTCAAGCTAAAAAGAGGGTCAGACAATGGAACCAATATAAGACAATGCATGCTCACAGACAAAGCTCCAGGAGCTCTCCTACTTGAAGGCACTCATCCTGAGACAAACCACCCCCACCGTCCTCACCCCAACCACCGCAAAGCCATGGACACCATTCAGAGCGTCCTCCCCGCCGACGCTACCGCGCGCATCCTCGAGCAGTACCTCGCCAGCGTATCCCAATCGCGCGAGTCTGGCTACGACAGCGACGAGGCGATGTCCACCGACTCTGATGCGTCATTCACCGAGGAGGGCTCCTCGTCCTTCGCCAGCACCTCGAGCGACGTCGCCTCCGCGCTCTCCTCGCTCACGCTCTTCGACCGCGTGCACACCGCCGACATCGCCTCGGACGACTCCGCGTTCAGCAGCGACGACGAGTTCGCCGAGGAGAGCACCCGCGCGGAGCAGCGGCTCAAGAGGGAGCTCGTCCTGGGCCGCCCGCCGCAGTCGCTGCTGCGCTGGCGCCCGCGCGAGCTCAACGACCTGCACGAGTCATACATGAAGCAGCTTGCCGACGCGGACGTCGAGCTCGCGGAGCTCACGAGCGTCCCGAACGACGTGATCGTCCGCCGGCAGGTGTCAGTCGAGTATCGCGCGCCCCCGGATATGGATGGGCGGGATACGGCGGCGGTCGTGCGCGAACTGCGGATGCGCTCGTCGAAGGAGATCGCGGATATGGAGAAGCCTGAGTCGGTGAGGGCGTTGGTGCTGCTCGCGCAGGCGTTGTTCAGGCGCGAGAAGGAGATCAAGAGGATCCTGTACAGGAAAGACCAGATGGACGAAGACAGCGAGGAGGACTAAACGGCCAACAACCCACGACGTGATGACCCTCCTGTGTGTTCCCTGTCCTTAGCGTTTCTGCACCGTGTTGCTGCTAGACTCTTCAGGTATCATGTTGCTTGTACGATATCGTTGCCTCGACATTCGCTTGCCCAGTCTGTACACATGAGTTTGGTTCTCTGATCTCAACTTGCAGAGTCACGAGATTTGCATTGAGCTTGACCCATTACTGTCCGCACACATGGCCTGGGGAAGGGCTGCGTCAGGAACTGCTAACACGTTGCTAGCACAGTGCCAGACATACCCTTGAATGCAACCCAATGTCTTTACAAGCTGACAAAACGAAGCCATGACCGAAGACTAGCCACGATAAACCGATAGCGACGCGTCTGTGAACCCGTAAGCTAGGGGCGGAAGCTGGCTCGATCGGGCAGACCTCGATCACATCCGCTTGCCTCTGCAGGTGCTCCCGCTTGCATCCGCCATCGGCTCCAGTCTGGTACGTTCGGGCGGGTGCAGAATGCAGGTGGATTATAACCTGCGCAGGGGTTAGACAGTCGTGCACGGACAGTCGCTCTCCGCGCACCATCCACCCGCGACATCACATTCACAAGTCGCGATGCGCTGCTTCTTCACCGTCCTCCTGCTCGCCGTTGCCGCCTGCACGGTCAGCGCAGCGCCAATCCAGAACATGCCACTACCACTACAGGTTGCAAACACGCAGAGCCGGGTAGAGGCAGATCATTTGTTCGGGTCAAAAAGTCTGCCATGGAACGCCCCAGTGGTAAGTCTCGTTCGACCTGCGTTCCCAGCAAGCCACTGACAGGATTCTCCACAGCGTCGATTGTAAGCAGGGCATCTGCAAGGAACCTCGATGTCGGGGCACAGGGACGGGCGCACCGAGCCACACAGAGAAATCATACGCCTGCTATTCAGGGAGAGAGCGGCGAGACGGAGGAAGGGATTGTATACGTACTGTACATTAAAGCGACGGACCGTTTGATAAGGGATATGGCACGGGCCACGTACCCAAACTCCAGCTTCTGCATGAAAGCGTATCGCCGTGGAGGGAAAAGTCATCGCTCTGATCGCTTTCTCTTGACGAAGGCCGAAAGACCTGCTAATTGCCTGCATGGTCGACGCGAGCCGAGTATCGAATTGCGTGCGATGTGTGGCAAGCTTCGACTAACGCGAGTAGATGGTATTCAGGATCATGTTCCACGCGCATAGGACGGTGTTGCGGATGCGCTGCGGGGACGAGGAGGAGGCGGTGGAGGAGGAAGGCTGCGCGGGGATTGCCTGAATGGGAGGATCTGCCACTGATGGCAAACAGAGGCAAGCAGGGAGGACGGGCGCGTCGCCAACGAAGCGAGCTCGGTCGGCCAGGTCTGCAGCTGCAGCTCGCATTCTCTCCGTCCTCCTCTCCTCGACCGCGTCCAGCTCTCGCACAGCCATGGCCAACGCTCCCCCGCCCCCGTCCGACGGCATTGGCATCGCCAACCTGCCCAACCAGGTATGTTTCTGCCCTCGTCTTTCGTCTGACGACGCGAGGTGACATTTTCCCTCTGTAGCGACACAAGATCGTCGCAAAGCGCGGCGCGCACTTCACCGTCATGGTTGTCGGTGAGTGTGCATGTCTTGTTCGCGTGTACGCAGATTTTGAGACAGTTGGCGATGCTCGCAGGCGAGTCCGGTCTTGGAAAGACGACGCTCGTCAACACGCTCTTCTCCACCGAGCTGTCCCCGGCCAAGAACTACAACCGCCGCCACCACAAGCAGCTCGACAAGCTCACCGAGGTCGAGATCATCAAGGCCGAGCTTGAGGAAAAGCAGTTCAAGACGAAGCTCACCGTCATTGACACCCCCGGCTTCGGTGACTACGTCAACAACCGCGACTCGTGGGCGCCCATCGTCGACTTCATTGACGACCAGCACGAGGCGTATATGCGCCAGGAGCAGCAGCCCCAGCGCAAGGACAAGATCGACCTCAGAGTGCATGCGTGCCTATACTTCATCCGGCCCACCGGGCATACGTGAGTGATGACGGTCGTGTAGCAGGCATCGTATACCGAATGAGTTCGTCTTTCCGCAGGCTCAAGCCTCTCGACATCGAGATCATGAAGCGTCTGGGCACGCGTGTCAACCTGATTCCCGTCGTCGCGAAGGCGGATACCCTCACCCAGAACGACCTCTTCACCTTCAAGCAGCGCGTGAGTTTCATCATGCGTCCACGTCAGTGAATCGAGCTAACAGGCGCTCTAGATCCGCGAGGTCATTCAGGTGCAGGGCATCAGGATCTACCAGCCGCCCATCGAGCCCGATGACGAGGTGACAGCCGAGCATGCGCGCATCCTCGCCGAGGCCATGCCCTTCTCCATCATCGGTTCGACCGAGGAGGTCACCACTGCCGATGGCCGCAAGGTCAAGGGTCGCGAGTACCTCTGGGGTGTCGCCGAAGGTGCGTCCTCCCCCTTTTTCCCACTCTCACCTCACAAACTAACCCATCCCGCCCCTGACAGTCGAGAACGAGAACCACTGCGACTTCCGCAAGCTGCGCTCGCTGCTGATCCGCACGCACATGCTCGACCTCATCTCCACGACGGAGGAGATCCACTACGAGAACTACCGCCAGAGCCAGATGGAGTCGCGCAAGCCGGGCGAGTCCAAGCCGCGCAAGTTCGAGAACCCCAAGTTCAAGGAGGAGGAGGAGGCCCTCCGCAAGCGCTTCACCGAGCAGGTCAAGGCCGAGGAGGCCCGCTTCCGGCAGTGGGAGCAGCATGTGCGTCCCGTCGTCATCACCGTGTGTTGTTCAAGACGATGTGTGCTGACATATTTCTGCAGCTCATCCAGGAGCGCGACCGCCTCAACAAGGACCTGGAGCTGGCGCACAGCGCGATCAAGTCCCTCGAGGCCGAGCTGGACAACCTCCAGGTCGGCTACGGCCGGAACACTGGCAGGCGGTAGATGTCCATACGTACGCTGTCCCGCCTGCTACCTATTTACCAAAAGCGTTGCTTGTCTCGATGATACCCTGCCCACACGCTTGTCGCTCGTTACGCTTCGGTTCGCCGGCTTGGTTTTCTGTCTCTCGTTACTTTGTGTTCATTTTGGGATAATACTCGCTGTTGCCTGTTGTCTTACCGCGCCGCGGCGAATAGAACGCATTGTGCGCTCGTTTTCATGTGGGTGAACGTAACATACCATTGCTACTGCAATGGTATTACAGGTATTAGAGATGGAGGATGGTGCATACGTATGTATCAGTGAGTGCGTTCTACTAAGTAGCAAACTTGTGTTCCACAGCAAGAGAACAATGTCCCGCAAGGCTCTTTCACGGTGTGAGCACAGCGGGGTGGCGAGCCTGCGCCCGCGCCGCCGCGATCTCCTTCGCGTGCTCCAGCATATGCTTCACGCGGAAGGCCTCCTGCTCCAGGCGCCCCATCTTGCTCAGGACAACGCCGGGATGCCTGCGCGCGATGTGTTCCTCCAAGTCAACAACCGGCGCGTTCTCGTCCCGCGCCTGCTTCGGCCACTCCTTGCCGTCCGTCCGCGCCCCGCGCTGGTCTATGCCAAACACTTCCATCGCGTCGTCTACCTCCGCCTCACGCGCCGCCTCCGCGTAGATCGCCTTCCACTCCTCCGCGTGCTTGTACCACTCGCCCAGGCCGACCTTGATCATCCGCTTCTCGAGCGGGATCGGCTCCGCCATGCCCTCGCCCTTTATTCCCCGTCCGAGCGACTCCGGGTTCCACCGGATGCCCAGCGGGCCGCCACGCTCGCCCCGGAGCAGGCGCGCGAGGTCGACGACGAGCTCGTGCGTGCGGTTGAGGCGCATGTTGCGGACGCGCCCGCCCATCGACGGGCCGTACTTGCGGTCGTGCGGGTCGACGGTGGAGTAGAACGGCGTCCCGCGCGCGTACGCGCGCGAGAGCCGGGCGACGGTCGTCGCGAGCGGGCGCGTCTGCAGCGTCACGCTCAGGAGCGGCCGCCAGAAGGGCGTCTCCGCCAGCGTCGGGAGGTACTCCGACCGCACCTGCTGGACGGCAGCGTTGGCCGCGGCCGGGTTGCCCACCGCGTTGACGTCTACCTCGTCATCCTCGTCGAGCTTGAAGGCATCTTGCTGACGAGTAGCCTGTCTCGGCGGCTGCGGGAGCGACACGTCCCGCGCGGGTGCAGGGCTGCGCATGACCGAGGGCGACATGAAGCCAAAGGTAGAGTCCGACACAGCCAAGGCGCGAAGGACTGCACTCGTGTGCAGGCCGCGAGCACCGCTGCTCGACGTAGACGTGTTCCCTTTGCCGTTGCCGTTCCCATTCCCGTTCCCGTTCGCGCCTCTAATGATCTCCGAATCGTGCCATTGTATCTTCTTCGTCGCAATTACAGGGTGGTCCTCCGTCGCGACCTTCGCCGCCGTCGGGTGGAACTCCGTCTCGGGAGTCGGGGGCTCGAAGCCGCTCGGGTGGCGCACCGTGCCTTCATGCGGGATCCTCACCTCCACGGGTATCTTCTCCTCGCGCACCCTCATGTCCGCCGCGAGGCCCTCCGAGAGGATGCCCGCGTTCAGCTCCGACATCAGGCCGCCCTCCTCCTCCTTGCGCTCCGCGATGCTCGACCGCTGGCGCTTCCGCTCGATGTAGTACGTCGGCACGACGTCGTCGCGCGTGTTCTCCTCGCGCTGGCGCCGCGTCAGCACCGTCTGGCGCTCGGGTGTGTCCCACGAGGACGCCGGGATCTGCGAGCGCTGCCCGCCGGTCGACGCCGCCTGGGGGCCGAGCTGCGAGACAGCGCCCGCTAGCGAGGGCTCCGCCTGCGTGCCCGCAGGGTGCGTGACGACGTCCGGGTTCGTGAGCACCTCCGCCGCGTCCAACTCGGCCTGGTCGCGCATATACTTCCTCCGTGAGAAATCTGTCTCGACGCCCTCGTCATAGTTCGGGCGAGGGGCACCGCGTCCGTCGCGGGGAGGTCATCCCAGCGCTGCTTGAGCGTCCCGACAAGCGGGTGGTCCTCCGTCGGCTTCTTCGCAACGGCGGGGTGGAAGTGGGTCTCGGGCGTCGGGGGCTCGAACCCGCTCGGATGGATGACGAGACCCTCTTCAGGCATGCGCACCTCGACGGGGATCTTCTCTTCACGGACCTTCGTCTCGGCAGCGAGACCTTCGCTGAGAATACCGGCGTTGAGCTCCGCCATCAAGCTGCCCTCCTCCTCCTTCCTCTCGGCGACCTCCGACCTCTGGCGCTTGCGCTCGACGTAGTACGACGGCACGACGTCGTCATCGGCGTCCTGCGACGGCTTGTGCGGGCGGGCCCACGTCGACCCGGGGATCTGCCTGCGCATCTCGAAAGAGCCCGGGCCCTCAGGAGGCTTGCTCGGGTCACCGTTCTCCGCGCGCGGGTGCATGGAGAAGTGGAAGACACGGCGCTGCTCGGCGCGGCCGCTCGGGCGCTGCGGCATGAGCAGCTCCGTGGCACGGACGGGGCGGCGGGGTGCATACGTCCTCTTCCCCTGATACTTCATCTTCGGCACGGGCCGCTCAGCCGCAGCCTTCGCCGCGGCCAACTTCGCCTCCAGCTTGGTCCACTTGGCCTCCGACATCGCCGCCCCATGCTCCGCGTCAACGACGGCGTCGAAAGCCTCCGTGTGGTCCAACTCGTCTATCTTGCGCATGATCTCTTCGTGCGT